ACGTCAGTATCATAAAATCAAGGAGGCTGTGGACAATACCTTAGATGAACATCGGTGATTCTGATGGTAGTGACGTCACACCCCTATATGTTGTATTATATTTAATTAATATTTAGGTTGTGTTGGTAGTATTGATAATTATGTAGGTTGTGTTGGTAGTACTGGCCATTCAAGAGTATATAAGAGATGTCGGTTTCGCGAGACCTCATTTGCGTCTTTGCTATCGTAGTGTGAACATCGTCTTGTGGTCATATAAATCTTTGTTTGTTGTATAGATTATTTTGTTTGAGTCAATTTTTGTAGGTTATCGTGTTTTGTTTAGGTTATCAATTGCATAGGTTATAGTTATTGTTATATTGTATAGATTATTATTTATTTTTGTATTGTGGAGGTTATATTTATTGTTATATTGTATAGGTTATACCTATCTTTTTCTTCAAAGTTCGTAAATCGTTCACACTCTTTATAAATTGTATAGGTTTTTGTAATATATTACAAAAATGAATCAGTTTAAATGTAATCTTTGTGGAAATTCTTATGAGTATTTGAAAAGCCTTCGTAGACATGAAAAATCTTGTAATGGTAATTCGGCATATACTTGTACTAGATGTAGAGGGATTTTTTCAAATACTTATAACGGTAAGAGACATGAAGATGTTTGCACTCAGGAACCGTTCTTAAAAAAACCTAAATTATCTGAGCCACAAAAAAATGAAGTGCTAACACTCGTTCCAGATGAACAGGGAATCAATATGTATGAAACAGCTTTTCAAAACCGTTTGGCGTCATTCTTCATTAGATCATCAGATTGTATGGATATTAATTCATTTTTGGAAAGTATTAAGAACCTCTTAGCGGATAAAATTCGAGATTTACTACATCAACATTGCGCATTAAAAGTAAATTTTCTATTGGAATGTACATTTACAAATTCTCTTGGTGAAATGAATGACAAAGCATTCAAAACACGAAACAAATGTATATTTAAAAGTAGCGATCTTGTCAAATTTATTGAGAAAAGTTTCATCAAAATTAAAACTGAAGCAGAGGAGTCTCAATTTCAAAAAAGTGGGTGGAAACTGAGTGGAGTTGATGGTATCAGATTGAGAATCAACAAATATTTACCGTTAAGGGGATCTACATATATTCCTCTCCCTGCATCTATAGAATTGAAGAAATGTTGCATTAATGTACAGAATAATGACATGTACTGTTTCAAGTATTCCATTTTAGCAAAATTTGTGGAAAAGAATGCCCAACGTGTTACCAAATATAACAATTTAGATCATTCGTATGATTTTAATTGCATTTCATTCCCAACTTCTCTCAACGAGATAACAAAATTTGAAAAGAAAAATAATATATCTATCAATGTTTATGGCTTGGATGAAAAAACAAAAATGTATCCTCTGAAAGCCTGCAAAACGGAATTTAAAGACCATCGGGATCTTTTACTCCTTTCTGATGACCAAACTTCCCATTATGTTTACATAAAAGATTTTGAAAGACTAGTCGGAAATCAAATTAGCCATCATGGACATAAGATAACAATTTGTAAGCGTTGTTTTAAACATTTTGACAACCGTTATGGGGAGCGAGCAAGTGAAAAACTTGAGGAACATAAAATTTATTGCTCTGAAAATAAACCTGTAAGAATAGAGCTACCGATGAAAGATCCTTATATCAGATTCTCAAATGTGGAACGACAAAGTAAAGTACCATTTGTTATCTATGCTGACTTTGAATCCATATTAGTCCCTATAAATGAACCATCATTGAATACAACCAAATATCAGAGGCATGATCCGATATCGTTTTGTATATACGTTAAAGGAATTGAAGGAGTAGACATTCCGATAACCGAACCGTACGTTTATAGGGGAACAAATGCCGCTTCTCACTTTATGGAATATATTGTAAAAATAGCAAACAAAATACAAGAAATTTATAAGATAAAGAAACCGATGAGGATCTCATCAGAAGAAGAGGAAGATTGGGCTGAAGCTAAAACATGTTACATGTGCCAAAATGTATTTAATGAAAATAATATAAAAGTTAGAGATCATTGCCACCTAACAGGAACTTACTTAGGACCATCTTGTAATAATTGTAACTTAAAACGTATAAATCCCTCGTTTATACCCGTTATAATGCATAACTTGAGTAATTATGACTCACATTTCATAGTGAAGGAATTGGGAAATAATCCTGGAGAAGTTGAAGTAATACCGAATAACGAAGAAAAATATATATCATTCACAAAACATGTGGGTAAAATAAAATTGAGATTTATAGATTCCTTCAGATTCATGCCACGAAGTTTAGATTATCTTGTACAATCTCTATCTATGGATAAATTCAAAGAAACTTCAAAATATTACAAAGATGACGAATTAGCATTGGTTACTAGGAAAGGTGTGTTCCCATACGATTATATAGACGATGAAGAAAAATTAAGTGAAACAGAGCTTCCACCCTTTGAAGCTTTTTACAATAAATTATCTAATACTAATATCAGCTTTGAAGATTATACACATGCTCAAAACATTTGGAAACAATTCAAATGTAAATCTTTAGGGGAATACGCAGATATTTATGTTAAAACTGACGTTCTGTTACTCTGTGACGTCTTCGAATCTTTCCGAAGTGTTATGATGAAGACCCATAAACTGGATCCAGCTCATTATTTTACCGTCCCCGGCTTAACGTGGGACGCCATGTTGAAATATACAAAAATGAACATAGAACTCTTACAAGATTACGATATGATCTTAATGATAGAACATGGAATTCGAGGAGGTTTGTGTCAGGTATCGCACCGATATGCAGAAGCAAATAATAAATACATGAGTAACTTCAATTCAAACGAAGAATCTAGCTACATAATTTATTTAGATGCGAATAATCTTTATGGGCAATCAATGAGCATGTATTTACCGTATGGAGGATTCCAGTGGGTTAAAAACCCAGAATCAATAAACATATTCGATCTGGAGGACGAAGATGAAGTCGGATATATTTTTGAAATCGATATTAGCTATCCTAAAGAACTGCATCATAATCATAACGATTTGCCCTTTTTACCTGAATCAATCTTACCACCACAAGCCAAATGTAATTCAAAAAAATTATTAACGCACTTCGGAAAAAGAACCCGCTACGTCCTCCATTATAAAAATTTGATACAAGCCTTAAAACATGGCTTAAAATTAGAAAAAATTCATCGTGCTTTAAAATTTAACCAATCACCATGGCTTCGCTCGTATATAGAATACAACACAGAATTGAGAAAAGGAGCCTGCAACGACTTTGAAAAAGATTTTTATAAGTTACTGAACAATGCAGTTTTTGGTAAGACTATGGAAAACATTAGGAACCATCAAAATATTCAGCTAGTAACTGACAGTAAAAAGTTAATGAAACTGATTACCAAACCAAATTTTATAGACCGAACTATCTACAATGAGAATATAGTAGCTGTACATATGGGAAAACCCAAAGTATTGTTTAACAAACCCATATACATTGGAATGTGCATATTAGATTTATCCAAAACTGTGATGTATCAATTTCATTATGATACAATGTTGCAAAAATATTCCAATAATAACTTAAAGATGATGTATACAGATACAGATTCGCTTATTTATAAAGTTTTAACAGATGATGTCTTTGAAGATATGAAAAAAATGCATCACTACTTCGATTTCTCTGATTATCCTAAAAATCATTTCTGTTTCTCAGATGAAAATAAAAAAAAGTTAGGAAAGTTTAAAGATGAATTAAATTCAAAAATAGTTTTAAAATATGTTGGGTTAAGAGCCAAAATGTACGCCGTCATGATGGAAGATGGTGTAAAGAAGCGTGCTAAGGGTGTAAAAGTGTCATCGTTAAAACAATATATCACTTTTGAAGACTATGAGCAGGTGTTATTAAACAATGAAATTATGCATACACCTATGAGATCGATACAATCAAAGGAGCATAATATTTTTAGTACCGAGATAAATAAAGTTTCCCTTTCTCCGTTTGATGATAAAAGACACATATTAGAAGATGGGGTCAATACATTGGCCTACGGTCATTATGAATTGGCTGAGTTGAACAAATTGAAATAAAAATAAAAAATAATATTTAAAAATTAAAAAAATATTAAACAAAAAGAAAATACAAAAAAAATAAAACCAATGTGTGTGTGTGTGTGTGTGTGTGTGTGTGTGTGTTTGTGATTTGGTCACTGGCATGGTATTGATTTACCTGTAAACCAAAAGTATGTGTGATTTGGTCACTGGCATGGTATTGATTTACCTGTAAACCAAAAGTATGTGTGATTTGGTCACTGGCATGGTATTGATTTACCTGTAAACCAAAAGTATGTGTGATTTGGTCACTGGCGAGGCTATAAACGCCCGTAAACCACCGGACCCTCTCGATGCATCTTCACCTTGACGTGGTGAGAGGGCTTAAAGCTGTAAGCTGAACTAAGAAAGATGCACATAATTACCTAAATGTACATGGACAGTTCTTCGTAATATTATATTTCTTATACAAATAAAACCACTTTTTGAAATGAAAAATACTCCTTCTCATTATCCGCTTTAAGTTTAATAAATAATATGCTAATTTAATTATTATAAATAATATAAAGTTCAGTAAATAATATGAAGTATTCGCTACTGGCTAGTTTACAGATTATATAATTATGATAAACATATAATGTTCAAAGGCTACAATTTTTGAACAATTTAAAGTGAACGAAGCAGTGTTTAAAGGCGAAATTTTTGGCGGGTAATGGGCGCCGCCATCTTGCACCGAGGACCTGTGCCAGGATCGGCCTTTTCTATCTACTGTGCGAGGTGGCGAAAATATAGTCTGAAGAAAAAACTCTATGTTGAGTTTCTTGTTGATTTGAATAGATAAATAAATATTTTTTTCATTATATTTATTCAGTTAAACGTAAAATTTTGATTAAGTGAAAGATTTTATATTATCATTGTTAGATTCATCAGAGTTCACCGGAACTTAGAAAGAGCCTGGATCCGAATTTAAGCTACGGGGAAAGCCACCATCACAACACAGCGCTTCACTACGCTGCCAAGCATGGGATGAAGCATCTTCTCAGGTATAAAATTGTAGCAATCACAAATCTTTTCAATATATATCTATTTATTGAAATAAGCTCCAATGCTATATAATTCTGATGAAAATAAATTCACCAACTCAATTTTAAAGCAGAATTATGGTTAATAGAATTGACTAAATATTTTCATGTTTATTAAAAATAATCATTCAAGTATTATTTTCAAGAGGTAATTAATTGCCTCTCATAACATTTGAAATAGGAATCGTTAAATACTCAAAAACTCCCTTCTGGCCGAACCACTACGTTCGCTAAAATTATTGGCAAGTAACCAATTTTTTTACAGAGTACGTTTAATTTAAATGTTGTAATTTAGCAAAAAATTAAAAATCCTTTCACAATATGTTTATAAAATAAAATAAATTTTAAATTTTCTTTGAAATTATAACAATCAAACTTTTATATTTACTTTTTAACATAAATTAGGCCATTATTCATCAACATTTATTAGCTATTAATTACGACGTTTCAACCATACTAAGGGCCATTTTCAAGTCTTAGTGAGTCCTCCCTTAGATGTTAATTATTAATGTCACATTAATTTCTACAGTGAAAAAATAAATAGTCCTGCTATTTTAGAGTTTCCCTACGTCATTTTTGGAGGGGCTGATTTTTTTATTTACTAATTTTATTTACTCTAGTGCCCACTGGCTTTCAATGCCAGTAATACGGCTGAGAATCCTACTTTTTCGGCGGGCGGCAAAGCATGTGGTTCGGAATCCTCTAGGCTGAATGTAAATATTGTTTATAGGAGTGAATGTGTGACAAAATAGAATTTTTTTTACTTTCATTTACTTATATATATATATATATATATATATATATATATATATATATATATATATATATATACATAAGTAAGTGTATATATACACATATAGTGAGGGTTTGATTACACTCGGTATATCTATGTAAAATTAAATGGTCTTTCTTATCCGCTAGATGTTATCCACTTTTATGCTACATAACAGGGCTTAAATGCACAAATTTTTCTCTCTAAGGTACCTTTAAATTTTTTTATTTTAAATAATTAACTTTCTATCTTTCGTTGATAGTAGTGATGAAAAAAGGCTCAATATAAACTATGGAAGAATTTGATAATTGATTAAAGGAGAAAAAAGGAAAAATGTTTATTTAGGAAAAAAAAAATGAATTTCTGGATATAATTGTCAGAATGTGTAGGTGTAATATAACGTTGGAGAGCTAAGAATTTTAGAAACAAAACAATATCTAATGAAGAGAAGAATAGTTGGGGTGCTCAGTCAAAAAAGGAAGGCAAAAATAAATTATAATATTTATTTTTTACATCTGCCGACGTTTCGACCTGAAGTTCAGGCCATCATCAGGGCTAAGAAAATAACCAGATAACAAGGTATGAGAAACTTAAGTAATGATGGTAAAAAAGATAATAACAAAAAAATGAGAAAATAAAATAGATTAGATCTAGATAAAATAGATCTAGATAAAAGAAAAATAAAATAGATAGATATAAAGTAAAATAAAATTGTTAGAATAATGACTAAGAACTAAGAGATAAATAATACAGACTGTTACTTAGCGTGGAATGATGAAGTAGGCATAATCAAAAAGGGGGTGACAAAAGTGTTACATTGGGAATCTTAGAATAAAATGTAAAAACATAAAAAAGAAATATAAAGTTATATAAGAAATGAGAATAAAATAAATAGTAAAATGAAAACATTGAGAATGGAGTAGTTTGATAGAAAATTGAGATATTGTAAAGTCTATCAAGATGTACAGACAATGTATAATATAATAGAGAGTTAACAACAGAGAAAAGGAATGAAAGGAAGGAGGGAAGAAATTGAGAAAGCTGAAATAAGAAAGAAATAAAAGAAGTAGTACCTTTCTCCTAAAATGTCAAAGTGAGAATGAAGTCGTTACAAAGAAGGTGGAGAGAGAAGGGATGTGGAGGTGGCGTCATCTGTAACGGTTATCGGACGAAGCTAGAACTAGAAGAATGCTAGTAGAAGCCTAAATAGTTACGAGAGATATATTATGTAGAAAAATTATGGAATATTGAACGAAAGTAAATAGAAAGTGAAAGTGAATATATATATATATGTATATATATATATATATATATATATATATATATATATATATATATATATATGTATATAAGATAAAGACCGGAGACTGGCGATATCAGCCTTAATACCATCTTGTAATGTAAATAAACATAGCGATTGTATATAAGGCAGATTATTGGACGAATAAAGCAGTGTTTATTCCGAAGCCGTGAGTATTGTTTCTCGTTCCTCTTTCCTTCTTTTTTTTTATTTTTAAAGCCCGGAGACGCTTAACTGGTGCCGAAACCCGGGAGAACGTCAGGAGAACACGGAAGTAAAATTTTTTTTTCTGTCTTTATTTTAATTTTTTTTTTCTCTTCTCCTAGTCATAAGGAAAAGACGAGATGCCGACAGAGGGCATAATTCGACCAGGAGTGTTGAACGCACCTGAAATGCCGCAACCTCAGGAAATGCCGATAGCGCAGATTCCTCAGATCGCCCCTCAGGTTCCGCAGATTCCGCAGATACCTCAGATACCTCAAGTACCGCAGATACAAGAGATCCCTCCCTTACCTAGGGACACATTGGCAGAGGCGCATGCCAATGCATTGGAGTGGATGAAGATAAGGGCAGCGACCACGCAGGATCTACGGAGAGCAATCGCAGACCTGGAGCGATTCGGGGGCGAGATAGGTGAACTTAATCACTTCCTGAAAGGCGGAGACCGCCTCATATCAAGAATCGAAGCAAAGGTGGCGGAGGACCTCGTGAACCTGGGAGACGCAGAAGCACTGAAGGCAGCTCTCGTGTGCCGAGTGAGGAGGAACATCCTCAACCAAATCCAAGCGGACGAGGAGACACCATGGCCAGTGATTAAGGAGCGTTTGAAGAAGGCTTTCGGAGGGGGCCGATGGACGCCGGAAGAAGATATCTTCCAAATGTTTAGGGAGTGTCGGTCCCAACGCCAAACAAGAGGACAGTATGCGGGGGTACTAGTGGCGAAGTACAACCGCATAACTGAGAAAATGCGTGAAACCATGAGTGTGGGAGAGGTCGAGGCTAGGATGGAATTCCTTTCGACAATACTCAAGGTTCAGTTGGCTAAGGAGACTGGGAGAAGGGACGGACTGCCTAGAGAGCGATCGTTCCTCGAGTGTGCCCAAGAAATGATAGATCTGAGTGCAAGAGAGGAAGAGACGCGGATGGAAGTAGAAGAACCAGGGTGGACCCGAGTGAGTGACAGACGACCCCGGACAGCCCATATAGGGTGGAGGAAGAGGGAAATGAAACACCCGAACGGAGAAAAAGCCACGACGGGCGAGAGAAGATCCGGACAGTCCAGGCCTAGGAATGGACCCCGGAGGGAAGACCGAAAATGTCACGGGTGCGGGAAACCGGGACATTTGGTAGCACAATGTCCGCGCACTAGATGTTTCGAGTGCGGGACTGAAGGGCATATTGCCAGACAGTGCCCGTACATGTTTCGCAGGAGAGAGAGACCTCTAGACGAGCCAATGGAGGTGAACGCTCAAAAGTTGAAAAAACGAGCTAGGATGCAGCAGAGAGACGGATCTTCGGAAGAGGCAACCGAGGAGTCGGGGACGTCGGGAACGGAGACTGACGAGCCAGCCAGCAGTGGAGGCGAAGGAGGCAGGAGCAGCCAACGGAGCGAGCAACGACGAGCGACGGCGGTAAGGAGGAAGCGAGGTGGCATCTGAGAAGGGTGTCAGCAGAGAGGCGACCGCACAGCAACCTGCAACAATATTAGAGGTAAGCCATGCTGGTTGCCGATTATTGAAGTAGATGGGGGAGTGAAGTGTCTCGTGGACACAGGGAGCTCGAGTACTATCTTGACTCGGGGGGCGTTGGGGAGAGTGTGCGGGAGCGAGAGGGTACTCCGGATACAAACTTGTGGCTGCCAGCTAATCACTCTGGGTGGTCCCTGTAAAGTAGAAGGGGAAGCGTCAATTACGCTTGACCGGTGGGCAGGGAAAAAGGGGGAGCTAAGGGTGCATGTGGTAGAGAGCATGGCGCGGGAGTACCAAGTCATAATAGGGTGTGATCTGTTAGGACAGGTAGGGGTAAGCATTAGAAACCGTAGAGGAGCTTGGAGTATCAGGCTGGGAAAGAGGAAATTTGGATGTATAGGGGTCGCGAGAGAAAGAAGGGTGCGGATAGGAGCGGTGAACAGGGTGGAGGACTGGAGAAAGGCGTTACAAGCGGAGTTCGTAGATATTTTCTTCAGGGAGGGCGAGGTATTGGGGGTAACAGGGAAGACGGTACACGAAGTTCCACTGAAGCAAGATAGGGTGACCTACGTAAAGGAAAGGAGATACCCGCAGGCGATGAGGCAGCATATTCGGGAGGAATTGGAAAGCCTGAAGGAGCAAGGGATCATAGTCGATAGCACCTCGCCATTTAATAGTCCCCTGTGGGCAGTGAAAAAGAAGGCAGCGCCGGGGGATAATAAGGAAAAATACAGAGTGGTAGTGGACTATCGTAGGTTGAACGACAACACGGTAGACGAAAAGTACCCGATCCCTAGATTCGAAGATATACTTGATAGGTTGAGTGGGGCCGTGGTGTTTAGCACGTTGGACCTCAAGGCGGGATACCACCAAATACGGATGCACCCGAAGGACCAACATAAGACGGCGTTTACATTCGAAAGGGGGCATTACGAATTCACCAGAATGCCGTTTGGTCTGAAGAATGCGCCCATAACGTTTCAACGCCTGATGGATGAATTTCTGAGGGGGATCGACGACTCCGTATGTCAAGTATACATGGACGACCTGCTGATTTTTAGCAGAACGGAAGCCGAACACGTGGGGCATTTGAGGTCGGTATTCGAAAGGCTGCGACAATTCGGGCTGAAACTGTCAAGTGAGAAGTCCCTGTTGGGACAAACGCGAATCAATTTTTTAGGCCACACTATTTCTAGCGAGG